ATTATTATTATTATATTTTAATTCTTAAACTGTTATCTCAACCCGTAAGTTTTCTCACTTTTACTCTTCTGATTTTCTCCCCCATCCCACTGCGGGGGGAGTGAGCAAGCAGCTGTGTGGTGCTTAGTTGCCAGCTGGGGTTAAATCACGACAATGGGAGGAACAAGGAATAGTCTATGTAATGACAATCACAGAAATCAGTAGTGAGTATCACTTTCCAGGACACTTGAAAAAATAGAAAAGAACAAATGTAAATGCAGCAATGAACAACAAACCTTAAACTCACAAGTCTTGTTCTATTATATAGGGAGAATCTGGAAAAAATACCACGTCCAAGTGCACTTCCAAGTCTGAACCTCACAATTTCTAAACCTTGGGAGCATGTGTGTGCCTTCACCCTTCTCTTTCTTTGGGCTTACTCTTTTTAAGAGTAACCCTTAAGAAACAAACCTCCCTTTCTTCATGCAGGTTTGCTTTATACCTAAAATCATTGCTCAGTAATATGAAATTTCTTCTTTGAGAAGCTTTTAAAAGAACAGCAGAATTAACACTATTTCTGTGTCCATTCAGAGAGACAGGCATCCCTAAATTAATTACACTTTTTAGCCATTTATGCACAATTATTTTGAAGTTTTACAGTGGCATCATTTATTGAGTACTTTGATCATTACCTTAGTTCACAGAGGATAAAAAAATTGAAGGTATTTCTAATAATCCTGCATTTGCTCTGCTATGCTTGAGAGCAGAATTTCAATTCAGATATTTAATAAGTAAGCTTATTATTTTTTATGAAATAGATGGAGCATTTATAACTCAGATAAAATGAAAACAAATGAAAACAAGCACAGTTTATGCTCATTATTTCAGCTATTACTTCAGATTTCATTGATTCTAAAACATTGTTAGAGCAAGCATGTGCCAAACAATATTCTCAGTTATACTGTAAATCAAGAGCAGATCTATGGAGGATGATGGAGAATCACTAGAATTTTGCCGCATATATGAAATAGCAGTAAAAGGCAAGAATAACAAGTTATACAAACACAATATCCCGTTTCAGCTCTCTGAAGTGACAGCAAAGATTTCCTGCAGAGCCACTTGCCAAAACTTTCAGCACCTGGCACCCGAAGATGCCCATTTTCCTTTGGTACTGGGCAAGGATTTCTCCCACTGATGTTAGAGATTTGTCCGCGTCAGGTTTTTCAGTGGTTCTTCTTAGAAGACAGGAATTGAGAGCTAGCTCTCCTATACTGTCCTGCAAGAGACTGTGCTTTATCAATGCTGTCAGAAAAAGGAGGAAATGTGGCTTTCCAGGGAAGTTTAGGGGAAAGTATCAAATTACTTAGAGCAGCACCACAAGTCCCTGGTGATGAAGCTAATCCAAGGCTGAGCTGGGCAGTCGTGTCCTGGGCTGGGGTCCGGGTGAGGAAGCAGCCGGGCTGTTGCATGCCTGCAGCATAGTACAGGGATGGACTGAGGGTGAGGGACCAACCTGCAGTGCAACGCCCAGAGGCAAAGGGCAGAGGACCGACGTGGGGCTTCTCCAGGACCTTTCTTACTCAGCTTTTCCTCGCAGGTGAGTGGTTTTTCCAGGAGCCTGACCCAGCCTACAGAGCTGCTGGCACCAGCTCTGGCTCTGAGTGCAGGCAGCTGTGGGTGCAGTATTTCCATAGGGCAGGGTGTTTACAGGTATGGACAAATCATAGCCTGAGGTTGGGGGTATACTTACAGGATAACTTACCTGTGAAAGACTGGAAATTATTTCTGTGAATTATTTTTGCTTTTAAAAGCCTGCCAGCTGGCAACCGAACTGGCATGCAGAGGGCTTCACCTTATAGGGAGGGTCAGGAGTGACTGATAACTCACAGAGATGTTTAAAGTGCCATTTTCCATGCAGGGCTGGAAACACAACACAGCCCAAACTGAAATATCCTTTATCGGGCACAGGTTTACTCCTGCAGCTCTTCAAATTCAGTGTAGTGCAAATAGAAAAGCTCACTGTGAAATGGGACTTTTCCTTCTCCTTTCATGCTGGCTATCAAGAGCAGGAGCAACAGTCAGGAGAGCAATGGCTCCTTTGGTTGTTAGTACTATTTCCATAAACTTTCAGCATCTGAATGCTGTCACCCGATGGATGCTGAATATCAGCTAAAATAAGCTCACACAAATCGAGCTTCAGAGTGCAGTCTTGCTCCCACTAAAATCAGCAGAAGTTGGATCATCTGTCAATATTGTATAAAAAGCTTCTCACTCACTTCTTACTTTAAAAAAAAGAAAATGAAAACCTTTCATGGAAAACAGTAGTATTTCAATATAAGATACCCAGCCTTCCTGAAGTCACAAACATGGCCATTCATTCATAGCTGTTCAAAAGACACTTTTTTGTAGTAATTTTTGTAATAATAATTACCATTTGATTAACAGGTGGCTAGTTAAGTGCTTTCGACTTTCCCCCAAATTTAAAAAAATTACAAAGCAGGATGCATCTGGACCTCAATAGAGCTGGCTTTTCCTGACCCACATGCATAGTTAAAAGACCAGTTTCTTCAACTTTCTGACTGTGGCCGTTCTTTTCACCTCTCTCAGACAGGATGCTCAGAGGACTCTGCCTCGAGATGAAGATGCTGCTGGCTTTTTTCTTCATCCTTTTCATCCACATGTCTGTTCCCCAAAACACTGGTATTTATTATCTCTTTTTTTAAAGCAATTCTTAATGGAAAAAAAAATCTTTGCTTGCTATTTTTGCACTAAATGCTGACCAGAAGCTTGAGAGGTTAAAGAAACTTCCGTGCACAGTAGCTGAAGCTGAGTTTAGATGACAACAGGTGAAGTTTGAGGTGTAAGATATGATGTGTGAGGTAACGAGGTGTGAGGTGAGGTTTGAGGTGAGATGAAGTTTGAGGTGAGGAGTGAGATGTAAGGCAAGATTTGAGGGGTGAGGTGAGGTTTGAAGGGTGAGTTATCATTTTGTGTGCAAGAGAAACCACCCAAGACTGCCTTAGGTGTAAGCAGGCAAAGTATCTTAGTCCTGCTCTCCTTCATTTGTATGTTGTTGGGTTGCTAAGTGAAACTACACTTGATGGAATATCTGGCTAATTTTGTCATAGTGGAGTTGACTAGAGATTTTCCTGTCTGCAGGCATGCATTTTTCTATGTGGTCACTAGCACACTTAACTGAGGTGTAGTTGGAAACTACACTTTTCCAACTTAGGTTGGAAAAGACCTTTAAGATCATCAGGTCCAACCGTTAACCTAGCGCTGCCAAGTCCACCACTAAACCTTGTCCTCGAGCACCACGTCTACCCGTCTTTTAAATACCTCCAGGGATGGGGACTCAACCACTTCCCTGGGCAGCCTGTTCCAGTGCCTGACTACCCT